ATGAACCGAAGGGATCACGGGAAGGTCAGTGTGAGTAAACTGACCGATGGGGAAGAGAAATAAGTGGGAGTGAAAAGTAGAGGATGTGGAAAGGAGGAGCGAAGTGATAATAATAATTACGACGGAAGAGGACACGGTCACTGACTCCGATCTCCAGGCCTCTCACGGAGAGTACCTTTGAGAGGAGGGAGACTAGACGCTACGGAGTAGCACTTAGAAGTCTCCACTGGGTCATAGTTCACTTTGATAAATGATTGGATTTATCTATCGACCATCGGAGTTAAATATATCGAGTATAGAAGTTATTTTATGAATTCAATCCAAGATTTTGATGGATGCTCATCACCGTACTTTCACTTCCTCTGTTATATACTGTTACTATTGTCCGAAACACCACTAATACCACCCTCGAAAGTCGTTAACTGACTCGAAATCGCTGAAGAATAGTGACTCTCAATTCACACCTAGATAACCCAGCCTGAAAACCAATTCTCCTTCATGCATCAACAAACGGCGCTTGCATAGATGATCCCTCCATCATTTAAACAGACGACAGGGGTAACTGGCGCGGGGGAGGCATCTCAACCAATCCCTCCAGCCATGAGATATTCCAGACCTTTTCCATCAGTGCATTTCCCCTGACTTTGTCATCTAGTCTAAATCCCATATTGACACAGGGCTGGCATGATTGGTGCTGAGATACGCACGTAGTATCCAATAGTCACAATCATAGTTCTTGGACAAGGCTGAGCCAGAACAGGCCACGTTGACGGTTTGACTGCCAAGTCAACCTCCATTAGGTAGGTAGCTATCTATCTTCTGTATCAACGTCGAGAAACTTTTGGGATTATTGGCGACCAATTCGAATACAGAAGTACTAAATAGGTATTCTGTTCAAGGACAACTCCTGACTCGTACCTCGACATTTCTTACGGGTTTATGGATGATCAATCGATCATTGGCTGCCACGAGGGTAGAGGTGAAGCCATATTCATTTTACTGGAATATTTGATCAACGAGTAATCCAAGGACGCGCACTTTCTGTCTTGACGGTAAATGATGTCAAGAATCTCAACATTTGTTCTTCAGTCTTCCTGTTAAAGCTGCTGAGTGAGAGTCTTCTTGCCCGGGTATTGCTGCCTGATTTCTCAGGCCTGCAGTGAACCTTGTTTCTTTGCATAAAACTGCACAAGCCTTGTGATAATGTGGCTGTCTTCTAGAATAATTCCCTTCCGGAAATACTTATGAATATTGTGTACCCCCCCCCATATCTATGACTTTGGCCAAATCCTGACATCATTTTCCCTAGCGAATTGTCGCCTGCAAATCCGCAATCAATTACATAAAAAAGGTCGTGTTCAAAAACACTATGTAACCTTAGGCACTACTTAGTCTTAATGAAAGTTCTCAAAGTATGGTGGGGTAGATATATGATAACAGAGCCAAGACTGAGCATTGGATTCCCCATCCCACTTTCTGCTGCCTTCCTGGACTATCAACTTCTACAACGATTTAGTCCAAGAAAGCACCGCTCATTATTGTTAGCCTTGTCAAACGTTGACTGCTCGACACAAGGCAGATTCATCGACTTACCGCATCATGGCGCCGAAGAAGATCATCATCGACACCGATCCTGTATGTTGCCTTCGCCCCTTCAATCCGTATATAAAATCTAACTCGATATGAACAGGGCATCGATGACATCCTCGCACTCCTTCTTGCTTTATCCGCACAGGCTGAAGAGGTCGAAGTGCTGCTCATCTCTCTGACCTTTGGCAACATCGAAGTGAGAAGGTGAGTTTTCATCCTCTAATTGCATTTGTTTTCAATTGCTAATTACGGAAAAGCTGCCTCCGCAACGTCGTCTCCATGTTCCACATTCTGGAGCGAGAGATGCAGTGGCGTCGTGAACAGGGCCGGCCTGAAGGGTTTGGGGCTCTGCGCGCCTGTCGACCGGTCGTTGCCGTTGGGGCTGAGGACCCTCTAGAGGATCAGAAGATGTTGGCCGATTACTTTCGTATGCACCCTTATCACAGAAATGTTCATCGTTGATGCTAACTAGTTGGTTTACAGACGGAACGGATGGTCTGGGGGGCATTCATGCTAGCGTATGTTGACAGCTTTGACGATCCCTCGACAGATGCTGACCATCGCAGCATCCGCACTTCACTCCAAAGGAAACCTGGGAGCATATGTTCGATCCCTCGGCGGATCCCACCGTCATTGAGCCCGTACGCACAGGAGACACGGCGCATCGGTCCTTCATTGCCTCCAAGCGCCCCGCACACGAGGAAATCCTCCGCGTACTGAGCGAGAACGATCCCGACACAGTCACCCTCGTAGCTGTCGGTCCTCTGACCAATCTGGCCCTCGCTTCCGCGGAGGATCCCGAGACATTCCTACGGGTCAAAGAAGTGGTAGTCATGGGAGGAGCAGTCAATGAACCAGGCAATGTAGGCTTACCTTCCAGCTATGGTTCTGCGTCTGTCTCTCGACTAACGAATGACAGGTCACACCCGTCGCCGAGTTCAACGCATACGCCGACGCATTCGCCGCGGCGCGCGTCTTCGCCCTCACCTCCCCCAACCCCAGAACCACAATGCCCTCCAGCACCACCCTCCCCTCCTACCCCGCTCAACTCAGCAAACAGCTCACCCTCCGCCTCTTCCCGCTGGACATCACGCTCCGCCACGGCCTGACCCGCGGCCAGTTCCGTCAAGCCGTCGCCCCCCACCTGGCAGCCGGCTCGCCGCTGGCGGAGTGGATGTCGGCGTTTATGGCGCACACGTTCCGGACCATCGAGAGCCTCCACCGGGATCAGGTCGGTGATGCTGTCGATCTCAGCTTGCACGACCCCGTCTGCGTCTGGTACGCGTTGACCGCCGACGATGCGGGCTGGAAGCCCTCCGATGCCTCGCCTGAAGATATCCGGGTCGAGACGGCGGGCCAGTGGACGAGAGGCGCGTGCATCGTCGACCGACGCAACCGACACCGCATCGAAGGGGAGGAGGAAAGTGCCAGCGATCATGGCCATTGGTTGAGCACGAGGGCTGGAAATCGTATCTGGAGAATGGGCGATTCACCCGCGGAGAAGGACTTTGGCGTGATTCTACTGGAGCGGATTTTTCGGTGATTCAGTCATTGGGACTAAAGCATGTACCTTTCATCTATAGAAATAGATCTTTTGGGGAATCTCTGGCAGAATAGCATTGCATGTTCTTGTTCATGAGAGGTTGATCGATGTACACCACCGTTAATGGTCCAAAATGTGATGAGCACTTGAGAGGGATGCCGCATGAGAGCTGAGCTGCAGAGAAGCAGTCACTGATGAGATACCTGGATCAACTGGATGCTAATAGACCGTGACCTTGGGAAGTATTCAGGCTCCATGCGCCCCCATGATCCAATTATCTGAAGAAAGAAAATGCAGAAACGAGTCCCAGACAGCCATTTTTCGAGACGTCGACTGCCAAGGTCAGATCCCTGCTATTGGACCATGAACAGCAGGTCCCTACCTGTAAGCTTCGAGGACATGCTGGCGTGGAGAATTTCTGCCTGCCTTGGAGCCCGGTAATAGACAGCATACTAGGTAGTTTCTTGCATATATTCAGATGTGGGAAGCATCTAACCATAGTTACTGACTTGTAGTGCCTGAGGAATGCTGCGTCAACCAGTAGAGGGGCAGTACATAGTTTGTAAGTTGCATGCTCTATCTTCAACTACAGGGTATTAGTCGCAGATTTCTGCATCACGAACGAAGCAAAGACAATGCTCATGAGAGTTAATGCTATGACTGCTAAATGAAAGGGGCCTGAGGCTCGACATGGTATTATGATACGATCAATCGTAAGCTCAATCGACTATGCTACTGGAAGAAGATCTTCTTGGAAAGTATACTTGATACCGAACGCACGACGAATTAGCCTGAATTGATGAGATTGCAAAACATGAGCACATGCAGTCAAAGGTAGACTCGGAATTCAATCCCTGTGTGACTCCAGCTGGTCAAACTTGCGTTAGACATGACCACACATGCCACAGGTATAAATTGTAGCTGTATCTTGTTTCAGACAACAGAGAGAATGACAAAGCTTGATTGATCATCAAGAAGTTAACTCTCATAACAATCAATCCCAATCCTCACCAGAAGATCATCACTCAAGGTAAGCAAGGACGAGGTATTTTCCAGCAATTACTGTTAACCAAAGCACACATCAGGAAAAGGTGTGCGTGTAAACCTCCAGAAAGTCCAGAGTCAAAACTTAAGAGTCAAAGCCAGACGATGATCAGTGCACCCTCATTTCTCCGGATTCATCTTGCCGTGTTCCCTCTGGAGTCCACTAACACACTTATCAAAGCCGTGGATAGCAGCACGAGCCCCAAATTGGTGGACGAGATGAGCCCAAGGCAGCCAGTCTCGTGCCTCGCCGACCCCCCCCGGGGATCAGCCTATCACAGCCCGAGGAGCTACCGCGTGGGCAGCCCCAAGCACGCGACACCCATTTTTGCTCAGCGACTGTAGCCTTTACCTTAACATGGTCAACTTTGTCGATCGTCCACTCCATTTCCCACCTCTTTGCACATGTCTTCCGGCTGGTCGAATCATCTTCTCAGGAAGAGGCAGCACGCCTCTTCCTTCCACTATCAGCAGCTCAGCACGGTATTCGCATCTCCACCATGTTTGAACAACGTCCAGATTTTAAACTCTCAGGGACAGGGGTCAGACTAAGAAGGAGACTTTCTCTTATCTGCACACGCAATTGACTCGTTCTTAATGACCTGAGGCTGCTGTCTCTTGTTTCTCATCCTCCGTCTTCCTCTCCCTCACTTGTTCCCCGTCTCACGCGTTCCTCTTCTACGGTCAATTGTACAACTATAATCTGATTGTTGTCCTACAGCTGGCTGTCCAGCTAGTTCAGGCCATCTCATCGGCTAATTCTTACCTCTCTATCTTTCCTACCTCAGACCAGGTGCTGGGTTAATACACCCATCCTGCCATCATGTCACGTTCACGTCTTCCCCCAACTCCTTCAATGTCTGGAGAATTCATCATCAAGGAACAAACCTCCGTCGACGGTGCAGACTCCTTTGCATTGCCTCCAGCTGCCCTAAGTCCAGTCAAAAGCGAGAGCGCGAGCAGAAGACCTTCCAAATCAGATTCCTCAGCCTACTTTCCTGCTTCTCCCACCTCGCCCGAACTCACAGGCCTGGGCCGCAGTGCAAATCCTCCCCGCCAGGCTGGTACCAAGAGGTTACTCGAGGACTTTGATCTTCCTCCTCCGCCAACCCGGACCCGCAAGATCATCCAGATGAAGCCCAAGACACAGAGTCCGGCCAAGCCTGCCACAACAAATAGCAAGCCTTCGACCAAAGATAATGGGAAGAACCAGCCTGCCAACAATGCGAATGCCGCAGCATCTGCCAACTCGAAGAAAAAGCAGCCTAGTGCAACCAGCGCCGCGGGTCGGAAAATTGCCAGGAAAACGGCGCACAGTCTGATTGAGCGTCGGCGGAGATCCAAGATGAACGAGGAGTTTGCGACTCTCAAGGACATGATTCCCGCTTGCCGAGGTCAAGACATGCACAAACTTGCCATTTTGCAGGTATGGTCTTTCTTGCTTTCCAAGTGATAGCTGGAAGCAATCACTGACTTTACTCACAGGCAAGCATTGAATATGTCAATTACCTGGAAAAGTGTATCCAAGATCTCAAGACTGCTGGTAGTCAACGGACGACGGCATCGCCGTTCATACCGCCTGCTCCTCCCTCTCCCACGTCACCCGAGATGCTCGGGGAAGTTCCCAGTGGGTCACACTCGACATCCGTGTCTCCAGAGCTGCTGCCTAACGGCGCCTACACCAACAACACTTCACCAGCTTTCTCCCCGGCTTTCTCCCCTCGTAGCCGGATTCCGTCAATAGGGACAGCCATCGAATTCTTGCCTGCGATCCTTCCCAGCCCGGCGTTAGGTCCAGTCCGCTATGGCGAGGGGACCATGCACCCTCCACGTGGCTCATGGACCGTCCCGTCATCAACGCTCCCCTCACCCGTCATTCAGCCGCAACCCAGCAATGCTTCGTCCGGAACCGACGCGGACATTGATCATGAGGCCTCCGCCGCCCTGCTCATGCTGAACAGGGATCGCCGCGGAACCGTTGGCTCAGTGCAGGAGGGTCTCTCTAGTTCTGACTCTCGGGAGAACAGCGGAATTTTGATACAGGAGTCACAAAAGAAGATGGGAATGAGTGTCAAGGACTTGCTGATTGCATAGATATTGTTTCGATTGTTCCGGCGTCAGGAGGTTTAGCCTGATTGAAAAAGGGATCTTGGGTGGCGTTCTGTTTTCCCTCGGTAATGATATGAAGGCGCATGGCTACTGGGACTTTCTATAATGAATGATGATCCCTGAGTTTACGAAATCAAAGACTGATTTACTGATTGCAACCAATACACTTCACCGTATCAACTCTCATGCTAAACTTTTACTCTGTGACGAAAATATCCCAAGAGTCAAAGCGTCAGCAGCGAGGATATCCGTGCGGACAACCTAAGTACCTTACCAGTCACAGCTCACTAGTAGTAAGTCCGAGCGAACGACCCAACCTGAAGGCATCGAGGATAAACCTAATTATCTCTATCAACACCACTCGAACGCTAGGTAATAGCGCGTATCACACCCGTCGCCTTATCTGGAAGTGGCAAACGCAACTCGTCCGAGATGGAGGGTGACAGACCAATCAGCCGAACCTTCCAGGTGTCTTCTTGGAACCCAGTCATGAGGAGAATTCGGGATGGTGTTGTACTGGGCAGGGATTAGTCTGTGTTATACTTTTCTTTCTGTATGGTGCGTTGGAAGGGCTAGACTTGTCCATAGACTTCGACTTCCATCCGCTCAGCGCAATAGGATGAACTGGAGGGTTGCACGTTGCACATATCATACATTTCCTGATTGCTCTGTTGGGGACAACTGGTAGGTCTACAACCTTGATTGAGATGGCCCAAGTGTTCCCAAGTCGGTACTCGCGACGTTGATACCCTTCGTAAGTCTCCGCATATTGCAAACCAGCATGAGTTGAGTTGATATTCTAGCGCAGAAGGCGCCGCACGCGAGCATATTCTTATGTCAGGCCATGGAGCTTGAATTCATGCAGCGTGGCTTGTTGTCACTTGACCACCGTGTACATAGCCCTGGGACATGTCTCTACAGTATGTGTTCTCCTGAATATGCCTTTAGCCAGCTCTTGATACCCTTGCGACCATGAGCGAAGGAGATATGAAGATGATGAAGGTCTGCGTGCTTGAAAATGTCGATCAGCAGGGCTTGTGTATTATTCGTCTGCTGCGCCGACTCCTGCCAAGCGGTGATGAATGTATCCCGGCTCGCTGGCTCCACCGAGTCAATGCGGAGTGCGGAGTATCTACGGAGTATCTACTCGGTAATTCCTATGGGTATTCACAAGGGTTTGCCTTGTCAGCCATAGAAAAGCAATTATATCAGGTTCTTGTTGTCTTTGCGGCTGTCGCCCCGTTGGATTTATTCTTTCTCCGTACTGAGGTGGTATCTGAGAAGACGAAATAGGATAAAGTACGCCGTAGTACAATGATCTACGCCAAGTGCTTGGTATGCGCCCCCAGTCAATCATCACCTTGAATATTGGATTGAACTATTTGAATGGAAATACCGAGTTTCTTGGCTTGATACAATGTGAGTCTCTAGGAAAAACGGAGCACTATTATCTCATGTTCTCATAGCTGTGGATCTGGATGCGTAAGTGCCATACTAATCAACTCGGTCAGTTACTGTTAGATGACGTCGTTGAGTGGCTCTCAGTAAAGTGCGGTCCTGGGCACTAGGGACTCCTGTCTCGCACTCTAAAGAGCAGGGTACCTACTTCATTCATGAGTAGTGCTCGTGTCTAATGATAACAAGCGCAGGAGAGAGCTCTGTATCGGAGTACATCCTGTCCACTGAGTATGTCTGCCAAGTGTTCTAGTCCTGGCGCAGAACCAACCGATCAATAAGAGTCAGTCATCCACATTATTGCCTCAATCAAAAGGAATTACGATGGCGATTGCCAAGCAGAGAGGCCTGACGTCGCAGTTCCCCAATCTATTTCACTCTCGGCACGTCTTTGCCGGGAGGCCAGCGACAGACTCGACTCCCAAGTCCCTAATATAAGGTAATCATATCCTAGTATTCTACCCTCTTCCGAGGAGATCCCGACACAACGCCCCGCACGACTTTGGGGGTATTAGTCTCATATTACTACTATCATTATCGTTCCTAACTTCCTCTCGTACAAAGTCTAACTCTGGGCTGTCTCTGTCTGGCCCAGTGACTTCCCTGTGGGTCAAACTTTGTCTCCTCTAGTCGTTGCTTAACTGACTGCCCTCTTAGGTACTTAATACAGCCATCCCACCCACCTTCCCCTCCCTTCGGCTTCCTTCAATCGACAACAATATCCAACTCTTCTTCTACTTTCAACACTTCCAAAACTCCAACCAGTCAATCCTATCCATCACAATGTCCAGATTCCGCTCGCAACGCAAGAAAAACGCCCGCTCCATCGCATCAGAGGACCCCTGGAGGGTCGATACCCCCTTCGGACCTCCACGGACATCCTCCTTCCCCGGTGGTGGCATTCGACGAATCCGCAACACACTTTCCAAGCTGTCACCCTCCGCTCGAGCAGAGAGGGAACTCCTGAAACAGAAGAGCCAATACAAAATCCCCCTGACGGAAAGGAATATCGACACTCTGGTCACCAACCAGCTCTTTTCGGATTCGTGTCGTCCAGAACGGCATACGGAGCTCCAAATATCCGCCTGGCTTGAGCGACTGGCATATTAATCATATTGACTTTGGAGTTTGGACCGATGGCACATTCTCTCTTCTGACCGAGAACTACCCCGCCCAGATCTTTCTTATCCGTCGACATCAAGTGCTGGTCTGGTTCGAGCACCGTCAGCTCAATCTGAAATGGCTCAATAAACGCACAACGATTGTTATCCTGTCGAGTTGCACTGGAAACGAGTCACTTTCATCGCTTTCTCTTGGCGTCAACGTCATCACGCGAGATGCCGCGCCAAGTATGCAAGTTGATGCCGCCTGCCGCGGCGCAACAGCGAGGAAACCTGGGCAGCTTGAGGAGCGATTAAGAAATGTGCTTCAACATACAACGCCCGGGTGGTCTAGTGGTATGATTCTCGCTTAGGGATAAACCCAAGCATATCTGCGAGAGGTCCCGCGTTCGATCCGCGGCTCGGGCCGTTTCTTTTTTTTTCCTTTCCCTCTCTCCCTTATGCCATAGCAAGCACGTGTCTTCTTTGCGTCTTGTTCGATGGTGAAAATTTCTTTTGTGATAGATACCCTCTGTTTAGAATCCGTGTTTTCGACGGTTATTCTTGGCTTAGTATGGAGCTTTGGTGATTTTGCCTGAGTAACAAAAGCAGCTTCTGGGCTGTTCCTCATGAATGATAATGGCAGTCGATTCACCTCTAGTTTAGTGAGAATCAAGAGCTTTTCTGCGCTTTCTCATTCTTCGAGTTCCAGAAGCTGGTTGGGTTAGATACTTGAGTACTTTAGTCTCCTGCAGGATGCCCCTCGTTGCTGTGCTTCATACCTCGGTCCATATATATTTACTTCTCCGCCTGCGTGTGTCCCCCGCAGCAACAACAACCATGACTACAGCTCCCACCAGTCTTTTACCACCGCAACCGACACTCGTCCCGCCTATGTTAGGCGAATGGAGAACCAGCCCGAGCATGATCTCTATTACACGCTAGTATTGCGGTTCTCAAATAATTAGAGCACCGGACCATAGGCACTTCTAGTGAGGGGGGTCTCTCAAGCAGATAAGATAGCAAGCAACGGAATGCTGCGACCAAAGAAGGTCGCTATAATAGGTAAACTGACTTCCTCCACACCAATAGAATCAGAGATTCTATCTGAGATTTGCAAGTTCACTGAAAAACTCTCTGTCTAATAGGCGCCGGTCCGTCCGGCCTCGTTACGGCCAAAACACTCCTCCACCATTTTCCGGAGGGCACATTCACCCCAAGCGTCTTCGAAAAACGCCACGAGATAGGTGGCCTGTGGCCTGTTCATTGCAATGGCAGAATTTCTAACTCTGGCCGTGAACGCGTTTCAAAAGATCATGACGCAGCTGGACCAGTGAACCCGTCCATGCGGACGAATCTCAGTCGCTTCACCGTGTCCTTCTCCGATCTGGCCTGGGAGTCGGTGCTTGGGTGTGTCGATGTGCCTTTGTTCCCACAGGCGTGGCAAGTGGGCAGGTACCTTGAGACCTATGCGGAGCGGTACCTATCTGCCGAGGTGGTCAGGTCGGGGTGTGAGGTTGTGCGTACGGTTCGGGAGGTGGCGGGTGGCCGGCCGCGATGGACCGTGCAGTGGGTGCAGAGGAGGTATTTGTTCTGATCTCTCGCTAATTGCATGGCTGATATGGTGAAACAGCGGAGATGATACCGAGCAACACGCAGTGCAGACCGAATACTTTGATTTCCTGGTCGTTGCTTCGGGGTACTTCTCTCGTCCATATACCCCGGACATCCCTGGACTTCCTGCCTTCGCCGACAGAACTGTCCACAGCTCTGCGCTACGCAGCATTGAAGATTTGAATGCACTTGTTGAGAAGGCCTCTGGTGGAGGAAAGTTAGTTGTCGTAGGGGGAAGTATGTCGGGCGTCGAGGCAGCTTCCTCTCTTGCCCTTCACGTTTCCTCATTGAGGTATGCGCCGGGGTCGCCGATGCAAACAAGTGGCTTCCCTGAAGTCCATCACATATGCAGCCGGCCTTTCTGGACGGTGCCGACCTATATACCGCATGAACAGAGGGACAATGCAACTGGCACGGAGACGGTATCCCTGCTCCCGCTTGACTTGGCTATGTATGATTTGGCTCGGCGGCCACCAGGACCGGTTGAGTATGGCTTTGGCCCTGTCTCGGCAACGCAAGTTGCCAAAGTGAACGATTATTTCCGATCCATTTTGGGGGCAGACTATACAAACATCGGCCCTGGCGATATTGGGTTACAGGGTGGCAAAGAGGAAACTATTCGACCTTCCTGGGTAGCTATAGGGAATGATTATGCAGAGTTCGTCCGGTCGAAAGCAATCAAAACAGCCATCGGCCGTGTTGCCGCTGTGCATGCTTCCTCATCTGGTCGGGCAAAAGTCGACATTGAGCTACTTGGGACAGAGAGTATGCCGCTCGATGATGTTGCAGCGATTGTCCTGGCTACGGGATTTACTCCGTTTCCTTCACTGGCTTTTCTCCCTGAAGACGTTCTCTCTGCGTTGGAGTTTTCACCCGATGACTCCTTCTTCCCGCTGATCCTGGATGGAAAGGGCACTACTAACGCCGACATCCCTGACCTGGGCTTTGTCGGCTTCTACAGAGGACCGTACTGGGGCGTAATGGAGATGCAGGCCCGAAGCCTTGCGCAGACCTGGGCTCGAGCCGACACAGAGCATGGAATCCAATTTTCAGCGAAAGAGCTGGAGAGCAGAGCACAGGAAAGACAGAGTGTCCGTGAATTTCGGAATGCGGATCCCAACCTTCACCGAGGACAGTTCCCAATGGGAGATTATACTGGGTTGATGGAGTCCTTTGCTCGGGACCTGGGGATAAGCCGTGCTCCTTTGCCGGAGCTCAATGAACGACCCGGCCCTGTCGTTCCGGCGCGGTATGCCCTGTGTGGACCAGGGACTGCCGATGTCCAGACGAGTTTGCAGGCTCTGCGAGAGAATCTTCGACCTAGAAGGAGAAGTGCGAGTTCGGCGGTGGCCATGGCGATCTTTCGAGCCCTTCACGGTAGCTGGAACTTCACTCGATCAGAACAAGATGGTGTATCATCCGGCATTTCTACATTCTTCCCGCGATATCCTTCCCCCCCCACTTACGAGAAAGAATACCTGTACGAGGAGAGTGGACAGAAGCTTGCAAGCTTTGTGTACCGGCTCGCAGCCAGTCCTCAGGATGCACAGATTACGGTCTGGTCCGTTCACAGAGCGCAGGATAAGACTGCTGTTGCCCTCTCGTATGGCCTAAGGATCCTGAACCAGGAGGGGCCAAGCAAGTTAAGTCAGGGAGAGTACACCATTCAAGCAACCGGCAGCGAGTGGACAGACGCGTCCGCAAACCATCATTGGAGCAGCAACCGCACATACGAATACGTGTTTCGATTCAATGGCGTAGCCATATCATCCTGGGAATATACTGTTCGCAGGCCACCGGACCGAACAGGATCACATGACGGCGTTGTCTTGAGTAGAACGCTATACAAACGTGTACAAAATACGTGACAGTCCACTGACCACCTCGATTCCGGTTAATAAGTGAATCGAAACGCAGGGTGGTCATCGCCCAGATTCTCCACTTCCTCCTGGGGCAGCTCCAGCCTCCATTCCCTTCTACCCGCATCCCTTAACCTGTTCTCCCTCACCAAGTAAGTCAGGAACAAGGCGCAAGCCGCTCCGCAAATCCAGGTCATCCCCAGACTCACGCCGTACCCGGTAGTATATCGTGGTGCCTCCTCCTTGAAGAAAATGTTACTGGCCACAAGCCCTCCGCAATTGCCAAACCCAATCTGCATTGCCGACGCAATGGACTGCTTGTAATGACCCGCCATGTTGTTACTCAGCCAGCCCATGAGGATCGGTTGCGTCAGGTACCCGCCGCCTGTGATGGCGAAGACGGCAAAGTAGCGCGCCCCGACGGGCACGGATGCCTGGCAGAGCAGTATGACATAGCCCATGGTCGCGATGAGACAGCCCGCCAAGGTGAACAGGTATCGGTGGCGGAGCCGGTCGCTGGCATAGGCGGCGGAGAGGGTGATGACCATGGCGACACAGTAGACGGGGATACTCATGACCTGGGCGCGGACGGCGGTCCATCCTAGCTGGTTGAGGATGGTGGGGGTAAAGAAGGAGACTGCGTAGCCGGTGTTGACAATGCCGAAGTACATGAGGGGTCTTCACCGTCGGTTATTGTCAGCGCTTTGTTCATCCAGGCATCGAAGACGGGAGGACATCTCACATACCCCAGGTAGATCTTTGGGTCTGAAAAGGCCCGTCGCAGCGACTTCTTATCCAGACGATCCATTCTCGCTTCACCTTGGTCTTCTGATAGACGGCGGAGGAGCAGCGCTCGCTCGTCCTCTGTCAGGAACGTGGCGGTCTCGGGCCAATCGACGACGATGAACTTGGCGATGACCGCGACGACAATGGTGGCGAGACCCTCGAGGATGAAGATCCAGCGCCAGCCACTGTACCCGGCCACGCCGTCCATGTTGTTGATGGCGTAAGCGAGTAGCTGACCAGCATCAGCAATCTGGTTGATCAAGAGAAGAAGGATGGATCTACCCCGCTCACTGCGCCAGCACAGATACTCGCACTGAAGAAGACGTTGAGTCGCCATTGAAGCTCGTGACGACGATAGTACATATTGATCAGGTAGACGGATCCTGATCCAGAAGTCAGCATCGTTGCTTGGAAATGGGGCCAAAAGAGAAAAAAATACCAGGCATAAAACCCGCCTCAAACACCCCAATCAGCACCCGACACACCACAAGTCCTCGAAAACTCTTCGTCACGCCTTGACAGACGGTCAAAATACCTACCACACCGTCAGCCACCACTCACCACCTCGTCAACCGCACAGAAGAAAGCAACAAACCCCAAGCAAACATGATCCCACTCAACCACCACGACGGCTTCATCTTCTTCAAGAGCATATTACTCGGCACCTCGAAGAGGATATACGGAATGAAAAACACAAACAGGGCGATGTTGTACTCGTGCCCGGTCATGCCCAGGTCCTTCTCCAGCCCCATCAACCGGGCATTCCCGATGTTGATGCGGTCCAGGAAGGCGAACATGAACAGGAGAGTGAGAATAGGGACGACGTGCAAGTCACATCTCCACAGGAGACGTTTCTCCGCTGCTTGATCGACTTCATTCGGCGGGGAGGAAGAGGACTTGATATCCTCGATGGCGGAGTGTGTGCAGTCGTCTTTTTCGTCCATGGTGCTAGTACCTCGTACAGGAAGACCAACTAGACTATAGCCCTACAAGAAAAGTACTACTACCATCCCATGAGATCGACGAGATATCTACCCTCTTTATAGACATTTCCCGGTAGCTCCAGGCTCGATGTATGCATATGCCGCACGCACACACCCCGCATATTGCGGATCTTTATCCTAGATTCCGCGGTGCGTTGCCGACTCATTGACTCAGTCACAGCAATTCCGCTCGCCAAGAGAGCAATGCTCGGACCACACAGCACTGCAGAACGAAGGAGTTTCTCAAAGGAGTGATTGAGTTCGAGGTGACTTTGACTTGACAGCATAGTTGGTGCTGGACATTCCTACCAGCACGGCAGCAAATTTAAAACTAGACCAATCATGATGTAATGATAACACCTGCTGGTCAAGCAACGAGCAACTGAATCGGGAATGAACGGTGTCAGAAGCCAGCCAGGCGAGGATTGTTAGTACAAGTTGTAGGATGGACTTTGCCCGACTAGATCGGGGGTAGGGATTCAAACGCAATATATACCTTGCATCAAACCCATGGTGACGAATTGGTGATCTACATCGGAACCTGTGTACGGAGGAGTATTTCAGTTCCATTTGAGAAGCAGTGTGGTACTTGTGTCTTGTGGAAAGTTGTAACCTCTCCACGACCCCAGCTTCCCCAGATACCGATCCCAGATCCAAAGTGCGGAGAGATTCCACTGCGGGGATGGATCCACCGCATATCCACTGTCATTTGTGCTGCAGGGCGGAATGGGGTTCCGCTCAAGCTCGATTTGAGAAAGTATTGGGTACTAGAGGTAGTTTTGGAAATTGCTTACTTTCTCGGAGTGAACTACTAGACCCCCGAGCGACGACTCATAGGTTCATTCAAGACTTGGTTGAACTGGTGCTATGGAGCGAGTTCCCTTCCAGAGCTCTATCCGTTCAACATCCGAATTGTGGAGAGGGCGAGGGTCAGCGAACCACCTGACTCTGTGCCTGGGAAGAGCTGACGAGGCGTGGATGGGAGCTTCCATGAGGGAGCATGAGTCAGTTGTCATGGCTTGGTCCAACAGTTGCCGCGACAAATTAAGTTGGTTGTCCATTGTCAGCACTTCATCCATGATGACCAGTACCGTAGGCCAGCCCTAACTACGTATGATTCATACAGAAAGCGACGAAACTCAACATATTTACTCAGACATGTAAGGGAAGTTATCAATACCAGATTGACCACATATAAATATTAGCTGGATACAGCAAGGTCATAATCTCAACGCCACTCGGGCACTGCAGCGGCAGACATCTACCGTCTAGCCTCGAGGTTTTCAATAGTCACCGCATCACCCTTCTCACTGGTCTGGGTCTCGATATGTCTCTGCTTCTCTCCCATCATCATCTGCTCACCATTGGTGACATGGTTGGCGCCGCCGAAGAGAGCGTCGATCTCCTCAAGGGGGACTTGCTTGGTCTCAGGAATAAAAAACCAGACAAAGACGGCAAGCAGGAAGTTGATCCCCGCGAACATGTAGAACGCGTAGAATCCGCAGTTCTTCAGGAAAACGGGGAAGAATTGTTGCACAATGGCGTTGGCGACGTTCTGAGTCTGCGAGGCCATACCTACGGCCTGGGCACGAACATTCATGGAGAACACTTCAGATGTCCAAATCCACACGGTAGCACCCCAAGAGGGTTTGTCTGAGACAGAAATGTTAGTCATGGTCGAGTACTGACCGATTCATGATAACTTACAGAAGAAGATGAATAGGAATAGTAAGAACACGATGGATATGCCGACGGGTTCTGTCTTCACCCCGTGCGGCGATGGTGTTTCGGTTTCAACAGCGGCGACAATGATCATACAGAGACCCATGCCGATACCACCGAGAATCAGGAGGAACTTGCGTCCGAAGCGATCGATGATCCACACGGCGTTCAGGGTGAAAATGATACCGAAGGTGGCGTTGAGGGCGTTGATGAGAGCGATCTTTCCGGCACTGGGGAACACCTTCTGGTAGATCTTCGTCGAGTACGAGTTCAAAGAACCTTGTCCAGTGACCTGTTGACCGGCGTTGATGACGAGGGCCAGAGCCATACGCTTGCGGAGGGACTTGTCCTTCCAGAGCGCACTGTAGTTGCTGGAGATGGCTTCCTTTTCGTACTCGAGGGCCTCACGGATTCTCAAGATTTCCTCCTCAACTTCCTCTTCAGTCTCGCGGACTCGGCGCAGAGCGGCGCGGGCCTTCTCAACGTTGTCGCCTCGCTGGAGGAACCTGATACCATTGTCAGTTATTGAAGCCGTATTGAGATTTTGCATCAGCTTACCATCGTGGAGAGCCGGGGATTGTTGGCAGAAGAGCCAGGATCAGGCTGGGAACGAGCAGTTGGAATATGACAACCATCTTCCAGTCCCACTCGCCCAGTTTCTCCTTGTGCTCTGTGCAACCGTAGTTGACCCAGAAGCAAATGAAAGATCCAACGGAGTAGAACATTTGCCAAAAGGTCATGATCTTTCCACGAATCTCCGGTGGTGCCAGCTCACCAATATAGATAGGACCGGCGGCTTCACAAATGTACTCGATTAGCGAAAGACAAAATACACATCATTGGAGAAGAATACTCACTCAACGCAATACCCTGTCCGATACCGATGATGCAGCGACCAGCAAGGAAGCATCCAATGCTACCACGTGGGGACCATGCCTGCATGAATGTGGATGCAATAACGAGGACACAACCAACGGCCATTCCGATCTTACGGCCGAGGTAATCAGCAATGGGACCACCCAAGAAGAAACCACCGAAGATGGCGCCCACGGTGTAGGCCGTGTTGACTGCGCCAATCGTGTTGTCATCTGGGTCATTAAAGTATTTGACCCAGTTCTTGGAACCCTGTACGGAGTTGTAGACGGACGCATCGTAACCATAGAGAACCATGCATGCTGCTGCAACGAGAGAGACGAACCTAAAGTGTTGCCGTCAATCGATCGTCCGTTTCGTTGCAGCCGTCGGGAACAGGACTCACCAGTTATAGCCTCTCTTGGAGAGGATTTTGGCCATCATCTTGACGGATGATTCGTGTAACACGACTTTGTATAGAACAGAAAAGGAGATGATAGAAGCATACACCAGGTGCCCAATCGCAGAGTCTTCCGTCCCTGTCAGCCAAGCGCTAGGCTGTCGTAGGGTCTTGTCCTGTTGTACACGACGAAGATGCTAAAAGACAAGGCTCTGCCCAAAGGTCCCAAGAGACAGATATATAGGCCCCTTGAGAGATCGAGGAGAGATAGTGTCCGAGGCGATAGAAACGAGCAAGAGCCAGGCTCAGTCAGCCCACTATATTAGACCATGGGACACTCAAGCCCATGGCTGCATCCCCGTGAACACTAGAGAAAAAGCACCAGTGAACAGTCCAATCAGCATCGAAGAACTTGTCTCTCCCCAGTGGCGCTACTGTCCTAACGCATGCTTCAACGATGTCTAGCTCTCACCTCCAGGTTTCTAAGTGGTGGGGTATCTGGGGTGGACCGGACGACGGGGGAGTGTGACTGTGTGAGAGACTGAAGCTCACTACGGAGTACTCTGATCTAGCCCGGTGCCAGTACCGTGTGGCCATGGTAGAACCCCGGACGGGGATTTGAGGAAATTCTGGCCCGTTGATAAAGCATGGGCTAACATTTCCACGAATTGGGGACGGGCTGGGTCAGGAGCGATGGGGAAAACCGAGTCCACCAATGGAAACGACTGCACTAGGCCCAAGAATCAAGTTCTTTTCTCCATAGACAAAGCGACGAGGGGGAGAAAGGTTAAAAACCAAAGCCATGTGTTCGCTTACGATGAAAATCCGGGGGATGATGATGATAATGAGGATGATAGTGGAGGAACCAGTCGGAGTCTGTTGGTGGACGTGGAGGGACAGACGACTCGACGACTGACAGGATGAACTTCGATCGGTGTAACAGTCCAAAAGTCAACTCGACAAGCTTTAACACATTTAGGCAATTTTACTCTTGGCTGATTGGCCAAGATTCATTTGCCCCATCCAGCTTGCTCGAAAATCGTTGAAATTTCCAGGCTGACCGCAATATGCACTAACTACTCCGTAGATAGGTGGTGAGCTGTGTCTGGCTTGAACAATAGAATATGGGCCTTGGAATCTGGGGTTCCAGGCCAGCTTCCTACTCCCTTCGATTGAGTCTTAGTTTATACCGAGTTTTATGACTTGACACCATATCATCATTGTTCGGAAAGACGGTTTTTCGGCACATAACATTAACGCAAGACAGCCATAAGATTTGAAGATCGATACAATGACCTGTGGGATACCGGCATGCTAAACTTTGAATAGTACTGCCCTTCATAACCAAAGCTCGAAGGTTTGGAACAAAAAAGTGGGATAAAACAATGTGATAGGATGATTATTCAAAAGGCAAATGGTCGAGAAAAATCTCAACCCGTTGTGACTTTTTGACAAAAACTTGTGGGATGAAAGACGACTGACCCATCGTTGTTGATCTCGGTCCCCTCGCCACTGAAGAAGTCTGGTGGTGTCTTTGACTTTACCTCTCTGAAGTGCCTTCGGATACTTGCATTGGGCGCTGGAGGGAGGATTGGAATTTTATGAGCGGGTTGTATATCTTTCGCATGTTTGGTATCGAGTGACTCTATGTCGAAGACATCTTGAATTCTTCCGCGAGAGTCTCTCCGAAACACGCCGAGTTGATGCCATTTCCGCTTTAGGGTGAAGAAAGGCGACGTGGGATCACTGGCATCGTCCGCTCCAGTCTCGGTTTCCCTCTGCAATACTTCTAGCTTCGTTTTGAAGGAAAACCCAGGGAAGAGAGCCGGTATGGAGTCGACTTGGAAGACCGAGGAAGACCTTGATTTCGTGGCAGGACTTCGAGAAGTCTGAGAATTACATAGACCCCGATATATCCGGTATCGCCTCTGCACTCGTCTGCAGAAGCTGCGCAGCAGATACAGAAGAGCAGCTACCACAATAAAGCAGCCGAGCAACACGCAAACACTGTAGAAGGCTTGGCGTCCACTAACCTCCTGTTTTGAGCAGTGTTTCTCAATGACTGCAAGGTTTCTTTCTGGATAACATAGTGCACAGATCTCCTCTTTAGCGGGAGTTTTACCCTCTGACGCACAAGTCTTCTTCGAATCGAATCCTTCGCAAAAAGTGTCCACACATCTAGTGTGACGACTGTAGGAATTTTTCCGGACGGGGGCATCGTTATCGTGACGGTGAACGCGGCCATCTGAGCCACTCTCAAAGCCTAGGGTGTCTTCCGACTTCCGACTCTCAGTTCGTACCTTTCCACGTTGAATGACTGACATTAGGTGTTCAACAATTTCCTTGTACCTTTGTGATGCTGACTCCGAGTCCGATTCCGAAGCTGCCTCTGGTTGACCGTCCCAAATGTGGCTGCGACGTTCCCACTGCGGATCATTGTGCTCCAGGCAAAAATCGAGTAAAATGATTTCCCCAAGCGTTATGGGAGCTTCTGGAGTGTCATGAGGTCGCGTCAATAATCGCTTCCACTGTCGAATGCTTGCTTCTCGTCCCCCTGGGACCGTCAGGGTCACCGTCAAATTCAGAACTGATTGAGCCACATTCTCTGAGCTTCTCGTGTCTATTGAGATATTTTGGCCAGGTATTGCTCCTGCGTCAGTCCAATATAATGGCCCACTCAGGGAAACCGCATATCCTAGCTTATCGACTTCGGGATCCGAGAAGTTCAGCCCGCTAAAGGCGACTAGTCCCTGATTGCAATATTTGAGCTCATAGATTTCATTGCCAAGGGACTTGTCTGGTGTGGATGCCAGACTTTCTGTGCCGTTGACACAAGGCTCAAGGAAAGCGTAAAGGAGAGCGATAAGATGCTGTTGACAATACATTGGATTGAAGAAAAAAACTAGCCCAGACTGATGATACAAACTATCATAGCTGCATGCTCTCATGTCAATGACCAGAATCGAGAGGTGGCTCTTGAAGAGTCCGAGCTCGACTATACCGCATGGCTGAAGTCTTGCAAAGTCAGGAAGGAACAAGATGTCACTCAGGGAAGCTACACCTCATCTCTTCGACCACTTCAGTTGGCTATGCCAATCGGGTAGATAACAATGAAAGTAGCAAGGACCCTCGAGGGAGAAGATAAATCCAGTTTGTCTTGCATCTCGAATGTTCATGACGTCCCAGCTCCTGGATCATATGTCTTGTAGTAGAATGCTCCGGAGACAGACTTCTCACTGTTAAGAGATAAGTGACCGATCAAGTTCAGACTGAAGACCATGAGGTGTCGCTGCTCATATCTTTCTCTAGTCATTTGTAGTTCCTCACGGTGTCCTGTCTCTGTCCATTTCTGTGATCACTAATTTGGTAACATGAATCACGTGCTCTCGTGAATCAGTGACGCGGTGCCATCGCGGTATCTCACCAAGCCATCTTTTTGGCCTCACTTTAGTGTCATCTTGTCCTCATTAATCAAGTCTCCTATTCCTCACTTAGAAATTATCTATTTTATATCAAGACCTCACTGCTATTACCGTCACAACTGTTGCAATTCCGTTCCTCATGCCCCGCACTTATGGCAAAGCTAAACAGACGCGACTCTCTTTCGCTCCACTATTATCTTCGCCGCCAGATATTGACAGGAGCCCGAGAAGTCAGAATGAACGTCTAGCTACCCTACGATATGATCATCCCTCCTTACCTTCCCTCCGTCGAAGTCCACTACAACAGGGCGAATCCCTGATGCGCCGAGGGGAATCGTCTACCCCGCCAAAGAAAGTCTTATCAGAGGGAATGCCGTCCTCAGAGCCAGAACAAACCCCTCAGAGACCGAGAGAAGGTGGGTTCGGTATTCCTCACTCATCTATGCATCTGTCACTCATAGGGATTACGAAGACCAGTCGCGAACAAGATCACCTGTCAAAGACGCAATTGCTGTTGACGAGAGCAGCGACAGTGCTCTAAGGATTCTGCGCAGCGCGCGCAAAAATATGCGATTGCGATCGGGAAAGCGGAAGAGGTCTCCCTCCTTACCAAAGTCGTCAAAGTCTTCTGCAAATGAACGGCCGATTCAGGTTTCGGATCAGAGCGATGAGGACATGGTCATACAGCCCCGCCGAAGATTAAGACGTGGCACCGCCAACGTGCAGCCCATTGTGGTCGAAGAGGATTCTGAGGACTCCGATGAGCCTGTGCGCTCCTCACCAATCAAGAGACGCAAGCGAATTATCAACTCAGATCCCCCGAAAACTCCGCGGCGGCAATCACAGCAGGAGATGTTGGATCTCGAAGAGGATCTAGAGGACTTGCAGGACTCAGGTACGCCGCTACCTTGACGAAAGATACAATTTTTGGGATGACCTCCTTGCTAACTTTAGCCGTTCATGTAGTTGTCAAGAATACGCGGACCCGAGGACGTCTAGCCAATTCGGCAAGAGCTCAACGCCAACGTCATCTAGAAGCCCTAAGACGCCGAAGGGCTGGTGGAAAAGACCAGGACGAAGCGGAGCTGGAACAAGACTCAGGTGCTGAGCACTCGGATGAAGCTGACTCTGACGACGAGTCCGAGAGTGAAGCTGGAAGCCAAGTACGTCAGCCCCAGTTTCGCCGCCAGGAAGAGAGCGATGTCGAGTCATCTATTGCGGACAATGAAGACCTCGACCAATACGAGAACGATTTCGTATTAGAGGACGATGATGGCGAACTGGGAGTGCCATCCGCTTTAGAAGATATGCCGTTCGAGTTTTCTCGGCATGCTTACAAACAGTTGAAAGAATATTTCCAAGACGCTGTTGAGTGGATGGTAAACAACCAGATCAACCCTGCCTTCCCTCGTTCCGATCCGGTGTATGAAGTTGCGTTCACCAAACTTGAAGACGAGGTCAAAGGACGCACTGGTTCTCAGCTGGTATCTTCCGTCTGGAACGCCAAATTTCGCCGAGCACTCCTGGCAAGACCTCATGTCGAAATCACTCTTTACCCGATCACAGACAATCATCCTTGTGACGCGTGCAACAGGTCTAAGCATCCTGCTTCGTTCGATATGAAGCTATACGGCAAGGCTTATTCCTTGGAGACACTCGAACCATTGTCAGATGATGATAGCGATGAGGACGATGAGGAAGATGAGGAAGACGGCCCTGAAAGGGACAGAGACGGTTACAGCTTACCAGATGAGGACACGCGGTTCTACCTTGGACGGTTTGTCACCATTTACCTTTCTTATTCACATTTCCATGTTGACTCTTTGTTAGCCATTGCAAAAACAAAGCCTCGCTAGCCCACACTCTCACCCACTGGCGATTCCACCTTAACGAATGGGTTGTCGACTACCTCGAACGCATGGGTTACTTAGAGGACGACAAGGTTCTAGAGCGCAGCCATTGGAGTCATAAACGACAGGCCAGGTATGCTTCAGAGGTGATGGGCTCGATGGTCGACAGCGGCGAGGTCAAGAAACTCTGGCGTGACTTCCATATTACCCTGAAATCAGCGAGAGAGACAACCGTACGTTGAATTTTCCCCATGACTACGCGGTATATACTAATCTGCGTCCAGACAATCTTCTGACGCTCGCTCATCGATCCTACAGTCTTGTTGCTTTTACTAGCCCTGTTTTCCTCTGCACATACTTGATCAGCACAGCCATCGACAAACTTGACGAGGCACTCCTACATAACCTGCCATCTTTGACTCTTGAGAGATTCCTGAGTTGATTTTGCCTTTTGTTTCGCGATGATACCCATTACTCTTAGATCTGATTGAACGACCAACAGTTGCTTCAATATGTACTTAGGCAAGCGCTTAGCGGACGTACATCAAAATTCATGACTCGTGCACTAGGCTCATCCACGTTCCATTATCTAGCACCGTACATCAACAACCAAGAGAAATAGACATAACAAGAAATGAACATGAAAAATTTGTTATACAAGTACACATAGATCCGAAGAAGATGTTGGGGGGAAAAGGCGGATGGAATAGACCAAAGGCTCCGAATACAACAGGCGAAGGGAAAGGAGGACTTAAACCGTGACGAAAACGACGTAAAAAATTTTCTGTGATCGCGCCAGCCAAGTATGCAAACCAGCAGAAGAAAGGAATATGTGAAGAGAAAACCAGCTCCAACACCTTTCCAGAATCATGTTTTTTTTTTTTTTTGCACTGCGCCCATATTTAATCTCGAGAGGTTCTCTGTCGCTTCGCTTGGTGAGTTGAGTCAATTAGAGTACTAGCCGCGGTTGATTGCGAACTCAGCCCTGGCAGACCAACAATCATGAATCAAAGCGCAGGACCGAACAACAGGCGTCTCAGCTGGGTCATCGCAATTGTAGAGTCCAATACACCTGTTGTATCGTCACCGGTTGAGGTGTTCATTTATAGAGTAGGCTGGGCCTGCTTGTTCTCAGCCGGGAGAGCGCCGGGGGTGAGCATCTGTAGGAGTATCATTGTCAGCATGATCCGATGAAACACTCAAACAGCTCGTAAGCGCGCAAATGCAAAGATACAAGTCAGAATCGCGTGTGCCTCGCTTTCTTGGCAGAACAAGTCGACAAGTAAGAGTTTTCACGCCACCACCGATCTTCAGATAGCTGGATAGATCCCAAAGAACCGAGTCGAGACAATTCGGTGGAATGTTATAAGAGGGAAAAACGTCCGTCAACATACCTCGTTAGCACCCTTGATCATTCCCTGCTCACGCTCCATCTGGACGTACTGCTCCTCTTCGGCATAGGCAAGCGCCCATGGAACACCAAGGAGGAAAGCACTGGTGCTGAGAATCCAAAGCGCCTTTCCGCTGAAGGAGATGCTGGACTTTGTGAACGAGGTGAGTGTGGAAACGGTGGAGGAGATCTGGCGCCGGGCGGACGGGGGGACGATATCTTTCAGAGCGGCCACACGCTCGTACAAGGTCTCGGTTTCGAGATCGAGGTCGGATTCAACGGAGATTTCGGATTCTGGGATTGGATTGAATGGTTAGATATGTTGTTTCGAGGTCTTGCCAGTGTGAAAATGCATGTGGGCTATGTTTCCGGCTGAAGAATCATCCTCCGGCAATGGAGCGAGATGACCCTGGATGAAGGAGCGAGATGCAGGCGGGAAGCGCGGTATCCATATCGAACAGATGCTCATAGAGAATGAGCGTCCGGTGTTAACAGAGGTTACTCACCCGTGTCAGTGTAGTCTTCATCCTCATCGTCCGTGGCAAGAAGAACATTGTTCTTGCTGGGCATGGGCTTCTCTTGAGCAAAGTGCTCGTCCTCTACCTCGGTGAGCTTGACCATTGTGACGGTAATAAACTAAGTCGGTATGTGAAAGGTTGCGAGAAAGAAGTGGTCAAATGACTTTGTGACGGCTGGGAAATATGATGCTTAAGGTGACGGAGATTGTTGGAGGACGGCGGATTCGAAGTGGTCCGCTCCAACTTTTTTCCCGAACCAAACGACCCTAAAGCGGCAAGCAGCTCCAACGTGATTAGTACATGAGCCAACGGTTCAATGGAGTGCTTTTATGGACATTACGAACCGGTAGTATACTTACAGCCTCGGCAGAATTAGATATTGTACAAGTCGATTATTGATGTCATCCTTAGATACATATGGCACACCAAATCTCATGCAAAAATGGGGAGTGAAGAAAGTAAAAGCCGTCATCCACCCTCTATATAGTACACCCAGACCAGATCTTAAACCAGTGGGAATCCCTGAGCTGCGCTATGGCAGGATCATAAGAATCTATCTTCTTCCCAGCTTCCACCGTGCAATCCGTTCTTGAATTTCCTCCCATGGGAAAGGACGGAGTTTGTACCCTTCCAGTTCACCCTCCTGCAAGACCACCGTCGGAATACCGGTGCCCTGGCCCTTGTTCTGAACATGACCTCCGAATACATGCCTGGCCACGCGACGGAGGTCATCCACGGTCAGAGCCTCGATGCGGTCGCACATCTCCTTGACGCCGACCTTCCGGCCGTGTACCTGGACTTGACGGCCAAGGTCCTCTAATTCCACCATGCGGGATTCCAAGTTCATCAGCAGCGAGGAGCGAAGTTGGTTCTTCGCACGGTTGACCTCCTGGGGCTGCAAGGCGCTGTAGCCCGTGTCGAGAGTCAGTGCCTGCAGTTCGCGGCACATGACTTCAAGCATCTCGATCGTACGGGTGGGACTGCACGAGGCGGAGATACCAAAGATTCCGCTGTCTGTGTAGCTGTGGTTGAAAGCGATGCAACTTTCCACCCATCCGTGCTGGTTCAGAACATTTGTATAGAGACGAGAATACATGCCCTTGCCAGGACCGCCCGCGGAGAAAGACCCGCCGCCTCCGAGCAAAGTCTGAAGGGTAGCGAGGGCGTAGATGTCAGGGCTCGAGATAGGGAGAGCTTCAAAGGCGAGATGTATGTAGCTCAGCCTAGGAAGCATGGGGTTGGCTGGTGGAGGGATCGGGGGAAGTGAGAGGAATCCACCAGTGTAGTGAGAAGGTCGTGTCAAGTCCAACGATGAGGGCTGCACCAACGACGGATCAAGGGGTGCCACAGATCCAGGCTTCGACGCGGTGGTAGAGAGGTTCTTCAGGAAAGGAAGCCTGGAGAGGACAGACTGGGTTTTTGAAGTTGGAGTGGTGGAGGTCGTTGACGATGGCGTAAATTGAGGGACAGTCGGCACCTGTCCCTCCCGGGCGGCTGTCTCCGAATCCGACAGGGTCGTTTCGATTCCATTCCCGGATAATACGGGGCCTTTGCTCGGATTTCTGGCCTTCATATCACCAAAGTATTGCTCTGTTAGCTTAACAGCCTCCTCGTGCGGCACACCGGCAAAGGCAACAACCATCCTGTCCGGATTGAAAAAGATCTCCCTGTATCTCTCGACAACCGCCTTATTAATCTCCTCCAATCTCTCACGAGGACAGAGTAGCGGGTTCCCTAATGTGTTATCCTTGTAGGCCGCCATGTGCACCAGCTCCGGCAGGATAAGCTCAGGCTTGGCCCAAATCTCATTGATCTCGTACTCTGCCGTCGCCAACTGCTGCAGCACTTCCTCATCAGTTATCAGAGGGTCGCGGATCGTCTCCGCCAGGAGCCCCAGGGTCGCGGGGACAGCCGAGTTGAAGCTGGCCGACTGGTACATCAACGACTCGCGGGACGAAGCGCACTGGATGTTCCCTCCCAGACTCTCGAGCGTCTCCAGCATCTCGTCGCTTGTTCGGGACTTGGTCGATTTAAAGGCTAGTCGGTCCATAATGTGGCTCACGCCTCGCAGGCTCTCGTCTTCGTACCGGGATCCCGCATCGACGTAGACGCCAACGCCGGCAAAGGGTCCGGGTAAGGATTCTGTAGCGACGCGGATCCCATTCGGCAATGTGGTAATCTGATCGAGCTCGGCAGGGTCCTATAAAGGGTGAGAATCACAATTAGTCTTAGACGACGGACTTCGCTGTTGGGGGAAAGCAATGCCCTGCAGCTCTTACCTTGGAGTCATTGAGCGTAGCAAAGCTTCTGGAGGCCGAACGAGGCACGCGAGCCAGAGGCTTCGCGGACTCAACGGCGCGCAAGACGGAGCGACGCATCTTCTCTCGCTAAGAGGACGTAATTTTGTTGGATACAATTAGAATCTATCTAATTGTTCGTTCTCCGCTCAGCGTGGCTTTACCAAGGTCTTTCGTAACGGCGGCGACGGCAAGGATTTGGGACCGGAGACTTGCCCCGATCGATGGCTTATCTAATCAATCACTCTGGCATACAACAACGATGATTATGATGAGAATGACCAGTATCTCGACTCAACATATTCTTCTCTGTGGGCGTTGAAGGGTTTTGCAAAGGATAGGGATTAGGAAAATTTTGTTCTCTTGGTCCAGAAGTGCGATATCACACCAGAAGCGATGAAAATCCGGTATTGCTTTCATTACATATTTCTGCGGCATGATGCTATGCATTTCAAGCTATCCATATCGTTCTTGTTACATACATGCGTTCCGTAGACTCATGAATGATAGCTACCCGATATGCTTCCCATACTTAACAAATTCCTCATCCTCCTTCAACCTCTCCAAATCATCATCCCTAAGACATACCATAAGAGCAATCTCACCATCCAACGCCTTGGGCATAAGATACATCAAGCCCTCAACAGGCAGGAACCGCGGTCTGCGCACACACTCAGGCGTGCTCAGTCCAAGATTAAAATCAAGCTCATAGCAATTGACCTTAGCCCAAGAACTAAGCATCATGTCCCTTGACGGGTCGATCGACGCCCCAAATGAGAAAATGCTCTTATCAGGGGTTCGAGCGAAACAAGTCGCCAGGGCACGGGTCTGATACGCCAAAGCTTCAGGATCGAGAGAGGACCGGAGCTGAGATGCGATCACGCCCAGCGGCTCCTCGACGAGTTCCTGAAGCGTGGAGCTGTTGTACGTCATATTTTGCAACAAGCCGGGGTATGTCTTTGGCACGCCCAAATAACTCCGTACGTCGACGGCGCGGCCGAATGTCAATTCGGCTCTGGAGCCTAGACGTGGAAGACGTACGCGGGCAACAGCTTGCCAGATGAAGGCGCTCAGGGCGTCGTCGGTTGAGACGAAGCCTGTGGTGGCGGTCTTTGTAGCATGGGACTTCAATTTGGCGAGATCGGTAGGTGAGAAACTGAAAAATGTCCAAGTGCATTTAGGTGGGTGAGGAGGTGGAGGAGGTCCTCGCTCGTCTGAGGGGTCATTGCAGGTAGTCTGAGCTGGGAGAGGCTTCAGAATATGCCGCGCAATCTCGGGACCTGGCTGGTAAGAGTCATCTAGCAGAGGAATAAGATTGTGTCTGGCAAGATTGACAGACGAAAGTTCCTGCTCGGAAAAAGGCTCATTGCGGCAGGCCTTTGACAGCAACCGCATAAGATGCCCCTGGCCCGTCATGTCCATTGCCATATGGTGACCGACAAAAGCCAGCAACAGACCACCAGTAATGAAAATCGCTTGCACGATGAAGACCGGATCCGAGTCGCTGGGCTCATCAGGGGGTGGGATGGTCTTGCGGGGCGCAACAACGCTCTCGTCCAGCATGCTGCTGGGGAAATGAGCCTGTCGAAGAGCGTCCATTGTTGGTATTGAAGGGTCATTTCTCAGATCTTTAACAACCAGTCGAGGAACTCTGTCCAACGGCTTAATCTTGAAGACGCCCGTGTTGCCTTCACTTGCACCCTCATTTACGATTTGACCGGCCACCCAGGGAAAGCTTGAAGATAGTCGTTCAAGGCCCCTTTTCAGTGTGTCGATGATTGCAGGGTGTGAGGAAGCATCCGCCACAGGATAACAGAGGCATATCTGGGTGTAGAGTTTTAGTAATGGCAGATTTGCGAGAATGTCCACGGCAAGGTCGTTGTGGTTGCATGTTGTAGTTGTTGTGCCTAGCATGGTGGATTGGATTGGATGGATTTCTGATAGATATATCCAATATTGGATTGCTGTTCATCCTGATGCACCTTGCATGGTCTTATAGAAGCTCCAATACCCCTGCCTCATTGTATCATGCATCTGTATGGAGTAGACAAAATTTGTTCTGGATGGATGAGCGAACATGAGTCATCCTCACTCATCAGATTTAGTACCTTTAGGCTCATCCTCCAAATGTGATTGATGATGATGATGACGATGATGATGATGATTATTTATTTTATTTATTTTGTTCTTATTTTATTTTATTTCTGCATTATTGTCTCTATGGTCTATTTCATTATCTTCTCGTGCGAGGTATCTATCAGGTTCCTCGAGCGGGCTCTGTCTATGGATGCTCAGCAGCCCAGTTCCTATACCAGTCCAGGCAACCAGCATTCGCAACACTCGCACCAATCTTGATATTCAGTCCGCAAAGGATCTGCTTCACCGCATTTTCGACCTTTTTGCCGTTGGATGTCACCGGAATTTCAGGACAAACATCCACTATACCCGGGACATGGCGAGGACTGAGCTCTTTGCGGATGGTGGCTTGAACCCGTGCCGCTAGGTCCGCAGGCATAGTTGTGGGCGTCTTGCCCTGCGAGGCGAGCTTCACAAATAGTACCACAGTCTCATCGGTATCGATGCCCTCTCGTCTGCGTCCTATGCACAAAGAATCTTCGATTTCCTCGGCAAAGTGTTTCAGGAGGATGTTGTAGATCTCTGCACTTCCAAATCGAACACCTGCCGGCTTCAGGACGCCATCGCTTCGACCAAGCATGTGCACCCCTCCGGTGTGTGGGTTTATCCGGACAAAGTCGCCATGATGCCAAATGCATGGGCCGAACACCTCAAAATAGCTCTTGCGGTACTTTTCCGCGCCAACTGGGCCCGGTGGCCAGAACATCACCGGTTGGGCGGGAAATGGTTTTGTACACACGAGATCACCAGGCTCATTCGTGGCGCTGATATCACTCCCAGAGTAGTCGTATGCCGACACCGCCATTCCGAGACAGCGGCATTGAATTTCGCCTTTGTAAACAGGTAAGATGGGGCAGCATGCACAGAACAGTGAGAGGATATCGGTACCGCCGGTGATGGAACCCAGCATAATATCAGGATGAATGGAAGAGTACACATATTCAAACGTAGAGGGTGCCAGAGGAGACCCAGTACTGAAAATAGCCTTCAGTGTTTGCAAAGTCACTGGCCGATGAGGGTGCTGTGTTGGTTTCAGTGAGGCCTGCTCTAAGATGGAAAGGTATTTTGCAGATGTCCCAAAATGTGTAATCCTCAATTCATCGATCAGACGCGGCATGGCCATCTCCCCGTTCCCTCCTTCTGGGTCCAAGGGTCGGAAGGGAGAACCGTCGTAGAGGATGATGGTGGCACCGCTGGCAAGACCAGACACCAACCAATGCCACATCATCCATGTCGTGGTCGTGAAGTAGAACAAGCGGTCTCCGGGACGAATATCGCAATGGAGCACGTGCTCCTTCTTGTGTTGCAGCAACGTTCCCAGCGCTCCATGGACAATGGGCTTGGGCGCACCAGTGGTGCCAGACGAGTAAAGTATGTAAACAGGGTGATCAGGATCCAAGCTTGCAAACTCAAGGACGGCTGATGCATTTGAAACAGAGGCCAAGAATGTCTCGTAGGTACACGCTTTTCCTTGGGTTGGCTTTACTTCATCGACGCTGAATTGATGCGACTTGACGGTCTCGAAGACTACCAGCAGCTGAAGCTCTGGCAGTTCAGGGACAATCTGACGAATCTTTTCATGGGTACTATGCACTTTGCCGTTATATAACGAGGCGTTATCGGCAAATAAAATCTTCGGTTCGATCTGTCTCAGGCGCTCCAGAACCGCGTGGACTCCTGTATCGGGGGACACGCCGGTCCAGAAGGCACCTATTGATGTCGTCGCCAGCATTGCAACAACCGTGTTAGCATGATTGCCGAGGAAGCCTGCCACGCGATCACCTGCTTGCAAGCCTGCCTCCTTGAGGGAATTGGCACACTTGCGAACACGCTCCCGCAGCTCTTTCCAGGAAACAAATTCTTTATCAGATTCTGTGGCAGAAATCACTGCGATGGTATCTTCAGCTGGTGAGCTTGCCGGGTACAGCAGGTTTTCCGCAAAGTTTAGTTTGCTTGCCTCGAAGAAGTGAGGCCTGGGAAAGAGTACTTTGTCAGAAAAAAGGACCTGGCTGAGATCAGTATTTCTGCTCCTTGATGATGCTCCAATCCTCTGAGGCCTATCAGGATACTTCAGAGTAGAGCTACTCACCCGCTCATACGGTTTGTGCGCTTTGACATTGGTATAGTGCCAAATCTCCTCCCAGAAATCGGAAGGCTTAGATATACTCCACTGCCAGAGATCATTGTAGTTCTGAAGAGAAAGTTGGTACTTTTGATTCAAGCGCTGCATGAAATCAAATATCTGGGTACTGTGCGGATCCGAGTGCCGCCATAGTTCTTTCGCCTCCATGGACGCCTCATGATGATGGGCAGATCCGTTGACCGTCATGCTTGCTTTCTTGCTGATAGACGAGAATGATTTTTCAGAACTCCAGTGATATATAGATAGACAAGAGAAAGGAAAAAGATTACGGCAAACCCTATCTGAGTGAGGAAGATCTTGTAGCGTGGCGGCCTTCCGTTTCCGTCGAGTACGACTGTACTCAGGGATGGCAGCCGACAACGCAGTCAAAACGGATCACTGATATGATTCCTTGAAATGGGAGGAAGAACTAAGATCTGCAATCTCAAAATTATACGATCAGACACTAGTCGACACGTTGAGCCAGTGATTGGGAAATCGCGGGGGCGGAAAAGATCGGATGGGAAGCGGGTAAGGGGAGAGTCTTCCGCCCCAATGTTGCTACTGTCCGCGGGCCATGGCTTTTTTACTGAGTATCGGTTAGTCCAGGTATTGTTCAAGAGGGGTGTCAATGGTAGATGTAGATAGTTCACAGGATAGACTAATATTGACAATAATTAGAGCATAATTCTCTAAGAACACACATGTGATAGCTACTGTGATAGCTACTGTGATAGCTACTGTGATAGCTACTGTTCAATCACAGCATGCACTATCTAGCTCTTAACATGATCAACGTCCAGCAGAGGTTAGATAGCTCGTGCCTGAGGCCGATACTACTTTAATGCTCTGGTCGGAGTCTAGAGTCCACATTATTTTGTAGCACTCTGAAGGACTGAAGTAGTTTGAGGTAATATCCTTAACAAATATTGATAGATTAGGCCACAAAGTTAAAGTTGTTTGAGTGTGATTGCAAGATTATGCCAGTCTCCTTGCATTACCCCTTTCCTTAACTTTATGAATTCATTACAGAGTAGAGCAAAAGAAGACACCATGAATGAAGATCAGTAGAAAGATTGTGCAGTCATAGTGTGCACTAGTCCAGGGGCTGGCGGGCCTTTGCCATACAGTAAGATTACACACTATCCAGAAGACAAGCAGCTAAATCTGCAGGCAATGCCCCTGCATATGGTAATAAATGGTAATCAAACCCCGTACCTACAGAGTGCTGCTCTGTTACAGTGGGGTGCAAAAAGTATTCGACCACCTTACCTTACCGCCTATTATTAGCTAAACCTAACTAGGAACGAGTTTGATTCCGTTATAACTAAGGTATTTCGTAAACCAACCATCTGCCTCAATAACTGCCTTCACCGGGTTAGGCATGGTCCTTGATAGCTTTTGAAGTTCTAGGTAAGTAATGGATATCTACGCGTTTGGTGGTTTTCTGCCAGGAGAAGGTAGGCGGTAAGGTAGGGGTGGTCGAATACTTTTTGCACCCCACTGTAACCCGTGGAACAGGTCTTCTGGGGTCTCTCTGGTAAGTGGTGGTAAGGTACGGAGTAGGTATCTACGGTAAAGTACGGAGGATCACAAGACGAAAACCTTTTCCTTTTTTTTTTTTTTTTTATGTCTAGCTTCCTGGTACCTTTTGGTTTCTAACGCTCATCCTGATCCCGATGAGCTGAAATATGTTCTTTTAAGGCATCTTCTGTATTCTCTTTTGATCTCCTGAGATTGGAGTACAGTACGAATTACTCTCCATCTGCATCAGGGCTCCGAGCCCTCCACGTGTGAGAAGCAGAGTGATCCATCCGGGTTCTTCGGCTTGGATTTCTGCCTCGAGTGATCTTACTTGGTGGTACGTTGTTCATCCGTGGTCACCCTGAATTCCTGCATCGATGCCCCTTTCACCCCACCGAATTTTCATCAAACCATCAACAATTGCTCAATCTACATCGTCTGAAACGTCGAAACCTCGATAAAAAGAATCGAACTCAAATTGATTTGTTGTGGTTGACTTAGGTTTACAGTGGATTGGCGTTGTTTTTCCAACGTCTGCTCCCTCTCAGACTCGAGGGATATACGCGCATCATACGGAGTATTAGGTTTCTAAAGAAGCTGGTTGTTGCCTCCCAAGTACTCCATATCTCCTGCCACAATCGCCATCAATTTTTCCCTTTCCCATCACGAGTCCTCCTGAACGACTTTCGGTCTTCGATTTTGCCTAGTCCTTTCCTGCGATGCCTCGCCGATCTGCTACTTCCCCTTCTTCCGCCAACGACTCTTCCAACTCACCCTCCTTTTCGTCTGCTTCGGGAAAGGGCGGTATCGCCATCAAAGCCTCTACGTCCAAACCGAATCGCTTCACCCAGCTCTTCTCAACCTCCCCTAAGTCTAAATCCGAACCTCAATCCGCCCAGGCCGCTCTCCAGGCAGCTAGTGGGAGTCTCCAACCCGGCCCCGTCGCCCCGCCGATCAGTTCGGCATCACTGTCCCTACCGACCATTTCTTTATCGACAGCCACTGCGGGCAATCCCAACATGGACGAGCCTCCGACCACGCTTTTCCAGCCTCCGTCGCCCGAGGAGGCCCGTCGCCTGGCCAAGCAGCATGCCCAATTTGGCCCCATTGGCCATCCAAGCCATCGCTACTC